ACACTCTTATTTGTAATGTAGGTGTCAGTGACACGATATTTATAATTATGTGCTGACTAACCTGCCGTCCACCCAATCTTTATACTCTCTATATTAGCTATCGCAGATAATAAGAAAAAGTGGTATATGCCTGTATTGCTTTGCTTTAAAGAACTCACCTTGATTTCCAGCTGCATCTCTTCTGTTGTAGACATAATTTCATTATTTTTCATACCTGAATAATATTCCATAACACACACAATATGTCACAGTTTTTAATTCAATCATCAGTTGATGAGTGTTTAGGTTGCTTTCATATCATTGCTACTGTAAATTGAATCACTATGGTCATGGAAATGTATGCGATTCTTTCACATGCTGAATTTTGCTGGGGTCCGTGCAGTAGGTGTGGATGACAGGAAGGTGTGAGGAGAACAGCTCTCCTGCTTGGCAGGGTCCTGGGGAGCTTCCAGCTGTTTGGCAGGGCCTGGCGGATTTCTCTCTGACCACCTTGACTCAGTCTCACCCCCTTTTTGCATGGACATTCAAGCACCCCACTGAATTCTGTAATCTATTGAGGTATTGTTTGCCCCTGTGAGATGGGTTTGGCAACCAATGTGAGCTTGAGAGTTAATGTTGTTGATAATGTCTTGGTGAGTGGGCCTTTAACTGTGCATAGGCGTACAATTAAGCCCATGCTGTTTATGGACACCTTATTGTGTGCCTACCCATTGCTCTGAAATCTGGTCCAGACATATAGCATGCTTCTGGGAAACAGCTTAATAAGAATTTTTCAAAGTAATGAAAGTGATGGAAGTATGGGCAGAAGCTGCTATGGCAAAAAATATAGTTACTGTGAATTTAAAGGTTAGCCTGCGCTTGCAACTCTTTAGAGCGTAGAAAATGTAGCTGCTTTAACTGCTTTTACAATTTTTTATTAGAGGAATTATAGGGTGATTTTATTAATATTGTAGAGATAGGCTTTTGATTATTGTTTGATTGTTTATAGGGTTATAGAGCCTGTAATTGTGGGGGGGATCTATTAATGAAACTTTTGTCTTGGATTTTTACGTTTTTTCCTTGTAACATATTTCTCCCATTAAATGATGGGCAAGTTGTGGGAATAGAACTGCGGTAGGAACGTATTACTGATTAGCAAGTAATCGCATGTGCCTTGGCCTTAGAGTCTTGGCTGTCACCCAATGGCCACTAACGAAGAATGAATAATGGCTTGCTTTGAAGAAAATGATTATGGTAACTTACAGAGTTATCTTTATGAGCACCTAATTGACCATGAAGTAAAAATTAATTGAACATTTGTACATGCTCGCTTAGTTCTGAAGTCAAACATAGTAAAATCAAACGTTTATGTAGAGGCTTGTGTTGTTTCTAAGTAAATATAAAAACGACAGCTTCTTCTTGAGCTGCAGCAAGAAGGCACCAAGTGATAGTGTCTATATCTTTTCTTATCGCTGACTCCACGCACCCTTCTCGAGCTCCGAACTCAGCTGGAGCTGGACTCCAGCAGATTTTATCACCTTTGGATAATTTCTGGCTGTGGGATAACTGGTTTGCATGCTAAATATGTTTTTAGTTTTCTGTGGAATCTCCATACTACTTTTAAGACTGGCTCTATCAAATTGCATTTCTACTAACAGTTTGTATTAGGATACTTTTTCTCTACAACCTCACCAAAAACTTATTTTGTTTTAATTTTGAGTACTTATTGTTCTAATTGGAGTATAGAGATGTCTTATTGTGGTTTTTTTTGGGTGTCCCTGTTGGCAAGTGTTTCTGAGCGTTCTTCTCATATATCTCTTGACTATATATATGTCAAATGAAAAACATGAAAAATAACTGCACGTGTCTTTGGACCATTTCTTAGCTGGGATTTCTTAAACACATATTCTGGATATTATTATTTTATCCGATTTGTATTTTTGAGTGCTTTTGTTGCTCTTTCACTCTGCTATTTTTTTTTCTAATAGACTTTTTAAAAATAATCTGTGTATTTGAGTTTGGAAAGACACAGAGAATGATATGGCAGGGAAGAGATAAACAGATAGAGAGAGGCAGAGAGAAAGAGAGAGAGAGAGAGAGAGAGAGAGAGAGAGAGAGAGAGAGAAAGTCCCATGAGTTGGCTTACTTCCCAAATGTCTGCAGTGGTTGAGGCTTGCTTGGGGCCTGAAGATAATACAGTAGGCACTCACACACCCACTAATATGTTGCATACATTAAAATTGTATTTTCTGCTTCCCATTACTCTTTGAAAATGAATCAATGAAGCTTCACCTATATCACTGTTAAGAATATGGAGCTCAGAAACAAGTTTACCAAGTTCTCAGACCTTCATGCCACCTTATCTCTGTGACTCTACGGCAGCCAATATAATGGTAACCAATGGGCCTATTTGTTTGGATAGAGGCATGCATCTCTGTTATGTAACTGTATGACTCAATGTTACTGTTGTCTGCAAGAAAGTGGAGGGCTTGTTTGGGTACAAATACTGCCTTGTAGTCCTGTCAGCTGCCATGGAGAAGGAATTGTGTTCCTGTGTATGGAACACATTTGTGAATAAAACACCATGAACTTGTATAAGACTCATAAGTTATTCTTTAATCTGGATGAACCTGGACTTGGTCTCCCTGGGTCAAGTCACCAAATCATGTGTACTAAAGGCTCAAACAAGCTTCTTTTTATCTCAATGTTCTCTTTGGACCCTCTCCAGTTGACACACATGGTTCTCTCATTTGTATAGCAGGATGTTGTTGAATCATAAGTTCTAATCTAAATATAATAGTATATATCTCATAATTCAAAAGAGATGCAAAATGAAAGGCAGAATTTGAGTATGAGGGAGTCTTTTAGCTATATCCCAAATCTGAAATCATTTTCCATATCAAGACTATTAAAAAGTTTAGAGCAGAGTTTTCATGTGATGAGTTAAATGTTGAATTTATTTTAAAGATGAGCAATCTTCCTTTCCCCTGTGGGCCCTTTACAGGAAAAAGACTGCAATATCCAAGTAAGATACATCTCATTGCTTTTCTCTTTGATCCTAGTTCTTGTACTTGCTTATCTCTCTGTGATCTTCACTTGCAATTTTTCACCTGGTAGGGTTGGACATGCCCATTGGTGGAGGGTCAAGAGAACCGCAAGTTATTTTAGATTTGTCCTGCTGAAGTGACCTGGCCCAGTCATAATTCAAAAGAGATGCAAGATGAAAGGCAGAATATGAAAGTGTCCTTTAACTCTCAAGTCCTCTAATTCTTAGGTCACTTTCCAAATCAAGACTCTTAAAAAGTGTAGAGCTGATTTTTCATGTGATGAGTTAAATGTTGAATTTATTTTGAAGATGACTAATCTTCCATTTATCCCCAAGTGGGCCTTTTATAGGCAAAAGACTGAGATGTATATGAGGGACACATCTTGTTGCTTCTCTGTTTACACCTAGCCCTTGTATTTGCTTACCTCTATGTGGTCTTCCTCTGTGGTTTCTCACCCTGTAGGGTTGGACATATCCCTGGGTGGAGCGTTAGGAGAACAGCAAGTTATATTTCAAATTGCTCTCCTGAGGTGACCTGATCAGCTCTATCTAAAGTTGACAGTATGATAAAATTGAATCCAATTGATTTTGTAAAAATTCATGCCAATCCTTTTTATTTCAAGCCATGAAAATTATTTCCCACTGTTTACAGCACTCCAGTATTATTCTTCATAGCAAAGTTTGCAGTACTATCAAATACATGTTGCACAGAAGAATGACATTTATTTACATACTGAGCACCATTCTTTTTCCGTCTATCTAAACTGCTCATCTTCCATTGCCTACCTTACAATAGTGGAGTGGTAAGAAAAATTCAAACAGAATAGTTGCTTGCTAAATTGTGGACTCTGTAATATAAATTTCAAATGTTTCAATAAGATTTTCCTTACATGTTCATTTCCATATTGACTCTTCCTAATGAGACTGACCACTCCTATTATTTTTTTCACCTTTCTACTTGCAACATGGAAGGATCCAGAGTCAATAATAATAATGATAGAACTACTGTGTACAAGATTTCCTCTTTCTTAATATACTAAAGGCTTCTTGTGAGCAAAAACAATCTGGTTAGCAAAACCTTTATATATATATATGAGAGATACATATACATATATATATATATATATATATATATCACTAGCATTGGTACAATGAAAGTCTTATTGTCTAGTCAATTACAATATCATCATAGAGATAGAGCATAAGGGCAATTTCTCTGAATCCCAGGAAGGAAAACATAGGTGGGAATAAAATATGCTCACCATCATAGTCAAGGTGTGGGAGATACGAACATCTATGGTTGTCTGATTCACAGCAAATAGTTCTTTCAGTTTACTTCTATGGAACATCTGACTCATTATCCTGTGATGAACAACTGGCAACTTATACGAAGAGAAATTTACATAAGCACAATTTCCTGAATTGTTTTTATGCAGATAAAGTCTTTCTGTAAGGATATTATTTTTTTCCAAACTCAGAGAAGACGATAAAACTTGAGGGAGCATAGCTTGCTGCTTCAGAACCAAGCTACTTCTACCACATAACTGGACATGAGTGTCAGAGTGATGTAGTTTGAGAGAAGAATAAGGAGTGCTCTTTTCCATGCCTTCCACTAGAAAACAGATGTAAACAAGAGGTTTAAATAAGTTTAGAAAGAAATTGTTTCCAATATACCAACATTGCAAAGAAAAGCATTCAATAAGAAACATTCAGACAGAGAAGATGAGAAATTTATTAAAAATGTCTAGAAGATGATATAATCTCATTTCAGTCTTCGTTCTCTAAAAAAACCCCATAAAATAAACAAACAACAAAACAAAACAAAACAAACAAGGAAATTCAGCCTTAAGTAGCCTCCTAGTAGGTACTGGAGAGTCACGGAGGCATCCAGAGACATGAAGTTGAGAGCAAAGCAGAAAATCATGAAACAGGGGCAGTGCTCAGGTATATCTGACTAGCCAGGGCCATCTCTTCATCAGGGTCCAAAGGTGCTTTCTGACATCTCCAAGGTTTCCTGAGGAAAGCTGCTTCCATTTTCAGCCATCTCAGGGGTGTCATGTAGAGCCCTCTGGAGAACCTGTTTGAGGGTCTGTCTTCGCTGCTGCCGCTGAAAGGAGCCCACAAAGAAGTAAATGATGGGGTTGGCAGAGCTGTTAACACAGGACAGGAGAAGTGTAATAAGGTAAGAGTGGGGAGGGCAATCATATGAAAATTTTTTCTTCCACATTATGAGGGACCAATAAATGCCACAGGGCAAACCACAGAGGACGAAAATCAGCACTGTGAGCAGAAGGGTCACATATAGCCGGGTCAGTGGCAACTTCCGTGAGCTACAGAGGACCCTGAGCAGCAGAACCAGGCTAGACACAAAGAGCATCAAAAACAAAATGATCAGCAATGCTACAGCAATGGAGTTGTAGATTTTACACCAGTTATTGTTATCATGGCTAAACAGGATGCTACAAACGTTCATTTCCAGTATGCTCAGAGGAAGGCACAGGGCCCACAGCAGGGCACATGCCACAGCTGACAGGTGTCTGGGCCGGCGGCAGCGGTACCAGATGGGCCACAGAATGGAGAGGCAACGCTCAGTGCTAATGGCACTGAGCATGCTCAGGCCGGCGGTATAGGAAAAGGCTGATGCAGTGAGTAAGATGTTGTACGTAGGGGAAGGGATTGAGAAAAGATGTAAGAAATCGAATAAAAGCAGCATGGACACAATTACTTGGCAGCAAAGGAAGAGGAAGTCGGCTCCCGCTAGGTTGAGGACATAGATGGAGAAGGCGTTTCTGCGCATGTGGAAGCTCAGAAGGTAGAGCACAGTCATGTTTCCTGGTAACCCAACCAAGGCCACCATGAAGATCAGCAATTCCAGGATTAGGGTCTCCTTGTTACCTATTCGAATAGGGGTCTTATCAGTTCCATTCATTGTTTGTTCCATTTTGAAGACTGGAATGCTTGAATTTGTGCTCAGAAATCCACCAGTGGTGTCCCTGGGAACACAAATAAGGATTGAGAACCTGGTGCATGGCCTATTCTCAAGACCTCCAGCTATGTGGGGATTATTATCCCTGAGCCACAGGGGAGGGAACCAGAGAACTTCAGAGACTAAGCCATCAAGAAAAATGTGACAGTCCGGGAACCCAAATTCACACCTAGCTCACTTGATTCTAAATCCTGGAATCTGTCTTTTCCAGCTCTGAGCCTCTTCAGATGTGGAAACATCTATGGTACTGTCATCCTTAATCATAGTCTGAAAATAGAAGGAAAATATAAGACAACAGTGTGGGGCATAGACATGGCTGTGAATCCAGTTTTTCTGATCTTCTGAGGCAGAGATTTCTCCACAGGAAAATTTGGAAGCCTAACATATAACCGTGGCACTTAAATAAATTCAACGTGGAGAAAGGAGACCATGATTTTGGTTCCTGTGGAAATGTGAGCTCTGGATAGGACAGCTGGGGGTGGGGGGATAACCAGACTTCTTGGTGTTGCAGTTACTCAGTGGGTCAGCTTTCTGTGGACAAGGAGTGTTTTTCTCCTTTCTATTGTGTCTCTAGCTCCATTTGGGAGTCATAGTGGGTAGTCAAGTGATTTGTAATCAGCAAATGAGTGAATATTTTACACGTTAAATGTCATACAAAATTTTTAAATGAAGCGTATCAACAGAAAAATATGCATATCAATGACAAAGTTGTGTTTCTTCATGACAACATGGGAGTATGATGAAAAGAATTCCTTATCCCTCACAAAAGTCTGATGGTGGCTGTTGCCATGTCGCCAAACCAAGGAGAGACAGTATATGGATGTACTGAACATCTGGAAGAGCATGAGACCATAGTTTAGGGAAAGAATTCAGGAAGAATTAAATTTTCTGCACCTTGAGAAGTAAAAGTTAAGCTTTAGAAGAGATTAGAGAAAGAAAAGAGAAGAAGTGGAGTGCAAATCTGGTGGAGTAGAGGAGGTGAGTCAAGGGGATGTGTAAAGCACATTATTTATTGCCTTCTCCGTGAGGCATATACTTTAAATCCTCCTATTGGCTCTGCCCCCTGCTAGGTACTCTTTGGTCAAGTGTGCTTTGCTTATTAAACTCTTTGTGAAGAGGATTCAATGCAGAAGGCACGGAGATAGAAAGAACTTCTAATTTTGCAAGGCCTGGGTGAAGTGACAGATGTTCACGTGAATTCCAGCTTCGAAGGAGAATTTACTCCTACAGGTTTAATAACATCGGCCGAGTGAGTCCATATCAGGCATAATCGCACTGAATGCTCCTCAGAATGCTCTAGGTAACTATTATTGTTCTTTTCACTTTACAGTTCAGTAGACACACACAAAAAGATGTTGAATGATGGCCACCAGGTCTTGGGCAAATATGTAACAGAGGCTGTATTTGAATCCACAGGTCTGTGTCCAAGTTCTTATCCTTAAGCAGCTTTTAAACTGCATTGCTAAGGTTTTCTGACAATTACATAGGGAAAATCTCAAGAGATAGTGCAACAAACCAAATTCCAATGGGATATCAAAATTGTGGATTTTTAGAGCCTGAACAAATTTCAGAAGTACTGAGATATAGGATACAGGCATATAAGCAGAGGGGATGAGAAGCTAATGGGAAACAACCAAAAGAAGGGCCCGTTCCATCTTCACAATGGGGAGAGCTTGCAGGACAGCAGGCATCCACATGAACAGTGGGTGTGTCATCCACTGGGCGTGCAGAGTTGACATTAAAACCTTTATGCATCCATCACATGCACTTTTCATTTCACAAGCCCTAGTTAGCAGATGAAATGCAGAACAATCACAATCTCTGACCTGTCTGTCAATCTGAGCCTTATCATTGCACTGAACTCAGCTTACAACTCTTCTTCTTTTCTCTGTTTGGAGGGCATTCCATTCACAAAGCAACTAAATGATAAAATATTGTTGCTACATAGAAAAACCATGGCCCAGCATTGTGACACAGGTTATGCCTCTGTCTGCAACACCAGCATCCCATATAGGCACCAATTTGAAAGTTGGCTGCCCCACTTCTTATCCAGCTCCCTGCAAATGCACCTGAGAAATTTGTGGAGAAACACCCAAGTCCTTGGGACCCTACCCTCATGAGGGAGACCCAGAAGAAACTCCTGGCTCCTGATTATCACTAATCAAATTCATTTGTAAATGATAGGGCACTAAACACGCATTAATTGTCATGTTTCTCCTGTATCACTTTGTTAGAGTATATTCAGAGCATCTGGATCCAAAGTCTGTTGTTATTGCCTCTGATTTCCTTTTGTGTTTAAGTTGAAGCCAAATTGTATTACAGATACCTTTGAAGCATTTAAACAAATCGTTCACTAGACACTACTTACTGTGTGTTTATTATGTGTCAGGCATGGTTATAGGCAAAGAAGACACTGTGTGAACAACACACAAGATCAGGCATGTTCCTTTATATTCTGGAAGAGCTGAGTTAGCTCATGCAGGGCCTGTGTATTGGTGGGAGGGAGTTCTGAGATAGCCTTTCACAGCAGGTAGCCCTTCTTATAAACAACACCAGACACTTAGGAAGTTTTAAATTCTTATGAATCCCTCAGCCTCCTGTTCTTTCGTACTTTATTTGATTCTGCTTACCTCCAACATATTAAAAACTTGTTATTGTTTGAAATACTTTTTGTTCAAATTTATCCATAGGATTACCAATGTTTTATTATTCTTCCCATTTCACATCTCATATGTCTGAATTTATTCTCCATTGTTTCTTCTACACTTCCATATAGTGATTCAGTTTGTGCAATTTTGGAAAGTACTTCAACAATTTTTAAAATTAATTTAAGAAAATTCATGTAGAGTGAGCAAATTTTATTTACATATTTCACAATACAGATTTAAGTGTATAATAAAACTTCCTACCCTACACTCCCACTGACTCCCTTCCTTTGTTATTGCTTTTAAAAAAATTTTAACAATGGTTCATTTTCAGTTCACTTATAGAGTTAGTCATACATCTTCCTAGGCTCCTGAAATTTCACTCTAGAATTTTCATTTAAGAGGATTTGAAAAAACAGTGTGCACACAAAAATTTGAATTGCAAATGCTCATGTTGGCTTTCTAATTACCAGCTGGAAATTAAAGAAGGCAGTGTTGATGTGAAAATAACTCAGTTTCTGCCACTCATGTCACTCATGTGTGTTACTTAGATTGTATTCCCAGTTTCTGACTCCAGCATTGATACAATTCCAGCTGTTTCAGTCATTTGGGGACTGAACCAGAAGACACAAGTAAGTTCTCTCTCCAAAACTTTAATGAATATTTGGCTGTTTATAGAAGTAAAAACACAAAAGGAGTAATAAAAACTTAAGTAGACACTTCAACATACAGCAATAACCACTAAACACACAAATATATGCTCAAGTTCATCTCATTGCAGTAGTGCAAATTAAATCACAATGATATACTTAATATAAAATAATATCTTTAAAATTAAAAATTCTGACATTATCATATTTGTTGGTAGGATGTAGGGAATGTGCAAATTTCATATATTGCTGGAGAGAATGTGAATAGATAATCACTATGAAAAATCCTTGGACAATTATAGTCATAAATCTTATGCTCCTGAAATTTCAATAGATAAATTTCATTTAAGAGGGTAAGAAATGTCCTCCAAAATTTTTAACACTAACATTCACAACCTCTTTATTTATAACAACCAAAAATTTTAAAAGACACATGTCTGTCAAGGTGGAAATGATTATGTGTACAGTTTAATAATCCTATAAATGCTCCTTTGCAAAGCAATGGCATGGAAGTATCTCCAAATATATGCTTAATGAATGACAGGGATGGAAACTGCACACATTATTCAATTCTAAATATATGACCTTAAAAATCAGACAAAAAATCTTGGCTGTGGAATTAGTATTGACCTTCACAACAGCAGGAAAGATGAAGAGAAGCCAAGGAGGATTGTCAGAAACTGAAATTGCTTTATGGTTTTCTTGGGATTGAATCACGTGTGTATTCATTCACCAAATCAATCAAGTGAACATTGGCAATCTTTTCATATCATTCTCTCTTAATTATACTTTAATTATAAACAATAAGTTTTAAATGTACAAGATCAAAATCAAATATATATAGAACATTTGACGAGTATTTGTGTGTAATTGATTTGATACGATAAATTCTGTAAATTATTTGGCATAAAAAGCATATCTGACAGAGACCCTACCCTAGGAGCTTGCCAAGCAAAGGAATTTTCCAGAGAACACATCAACATGACGTACCCAATAGCAGCCCTGGTCTGGTGGAGCCCAGTCTGTGAGTGTTCCACTGCTTTTTCTCCAGTATATATGTATCAGTAATATAATATAATTATTGTGATATATTATATGTATATGTTACATAAAACTCCCCTCAAAAAATCTTCATGTGAACAGAGTCTGAGAAACCACCATGGACTGCAGAAATTGATATTTTCCCTCAAATATTGCTTCTTCAATGTCTGATGTCTGAGAGCCTCAATGTCAGGTCTAATAGATTTATTAGTCACGATTTTAATGAGTCTTGATTAGGATAGCCAGATTTACACTTTAAATAACAGGCACTATCATTTCCCACTTAACATTGTTTTGTATTTTCAATGCACTTTTTTTTTCAATGTTGCTGATTCTTTCATAAAATTGACATCAAGAGAAAAAAAGATGCAAATAGGAAGAAGAGTATCACTGGTGGAGATAATGTGAGAAATTGTTTCACAACCTCCGTAAAGGAAAGGACCAAGAACTGTCAGGACATAGATGATTTCCTTTCCATGCTTTTCTGCCTGGTAGGAACCAAAGGGGTAGTTTCAATGGACCTCATCTGTGGGATCCTTTCCCTTCTAGTCTCTGGTGGAATTGAATAGCTGGCAGGTTTACATATGAGAGTGAAGGCCTGAGGAGAAGTGTTTGGGTTTTTAACAACATCTCTTGACCATGTGCCTGTGAATATGGGTTGTCAGTGGCAGTGTTGCTCTGTATGCCTGGTGGTCCAACCCTGCAGTTCACGCTGTGGTTATATGTTCATGGAGTAATTATGCTTATTTGTAGTAACGGTTTATTTTCTTCTCCCTTTTTTAGCCATGAAAATTGTGCTTCACTATTGCTAGCCTTGGTGTGCTTGGCCACGCATTGTCACTCTACCTTAACTTCCCCTATAAATAGTCCTCCTCATGAAGTACTCCTCAGTTAGCACACTTTGGGTAACCTATTACCTTCTGGATCCCTACCAGATGTTTAAAGCAGGATAACTTTTCATTTATTTGAAGGGCAAATAAATTGATGAAGCCTGAGCTATCAAGAGCTCAGCTCCAAGATTCAAAACTTGCATGTCATTTTTCTCCTAAAATGAATATTAAGGTAGCCTCCTCTCTATGACTAGAGCTGAATGATTAGATGTAAGAAAGATTTGGAAAGAAATCAAAAGGGATCAAATTCTTGATACTATTTGGGACTCTCTAGTTGGGGCTGTTAGTTCCCAGTTTGTCAGAAGCTCCATTACCTCTGAATTTAGTACCTCAGTGTAGAAAGCAGGACCATGAAGTATGAGCAAAGCATGTAATTGAAAGTAGACATTTTGGATAAGGTGCTCTTACCTTTTCTGCTTCGTTCTCTCTGTAGTGTGAAGAGCTTTGTAGGCGACGAGCCTTCTCTGTCTTCCAAATTGGGAGATTCCTGCAGGAATTGGCATCAAAACTGGCCAAAAATGGAGGCTTATCAAATGTTTGAAGAACTTCTTTATTTCTTGTTCAGAGTCACAAAACAAATCAGAGGCCAGATTCAGCCACAAGCCTCACCAAGATGCTTCTCAGCACCTGCCCTGTTTACACTCACATATGAGCCTCTCCCTTCTTATACCATCCCATTAGGTTCACCATCCCGGAATTAATAGCTTTTTTGGACCTCCATTGCTAACCACAAGCTTAGGAAACAATAACAAACAATGTATTACTTGCATTTTTTGGCTTAGTAACTGTACAATAAGACATTTGAAGATTACCATGACCTGACTCTTCGTTTGGTCTTTGCAAATTTTCTTTATAGTGTTATTTTTTAAGTTTTATTTATTTGTTTTAATTGTTATTAACATTGTATTATGTGATACAGTTTTATAGGCACTGGGATTCCCCCCACCCCTCCCACAACCCTTGCCCCCATAGTGGATTCCTCCACCTTGCTGCATAACCACAGTTCAAGTTCAGTTGAGATTCCTTCATTGCAAGCATATACCTAGCATAAAGTCCAGCATCTTATTGTCCAGATAAGTTCAGTGGCCTCTTGGGGAGACCTTCTCTGGTCTGAAGGTAGAGCTAACAGAGTAAAGTTCCGGTCAGTTAAAAGCCCCAACAAAACCTCAGCATCAATATACAATGTTATGGAATTAGTTGACATAGTATTGAGTAAACAATATGTTAAAAATAATGCAAGTTCAATTCTTCAAAACACCTGGGTTGAGACAGTATCAATGACAGGTTCAAAAAGTAACAAACAACCAAACAAAAATTGCTCCCTAGTTGGGGCTGTTAGTTCCCAGTTTTCAGAGGAAAAATGTGTTGCTTACCTTTATAGTGTTATAATGACCTCATGTGTACACTCTCATTCTGAATGATCAAGAAGCATGCACAGAGTAAAAATCCCCCAGAATGTTATTCCTCTAAAGCCTAAACTTGATAATTACTATTTCTATTTAATTCTTAAATTTTAACTTACTTTATTTATGTTAAGTGAACATATTTTATTTATTTCACAGTGAAGATTTAGGAACACTTTCCACCCTGTCCTCCCTCATGCTCACATTATTTTTTCTATTATCTAAACAGAAATGTGATGAACTTATCACAAATATCATATTCTTATTCTTTCTTCATCCATTTCATGAAATTTTGATTTATTTTGGTCTTTAGAATGAATGGAAAAATCTATATCATCAATTGTTAATGAAGATTTGGAGAAACTGGAACTTGTAATGCTGCTGGTTGGGAAGCAATGTGATGCAGCTCTTCTGGATATCCTTTTGCATATTCTGAAAAAGTTTGATAGCCACTTGACCATAGCACTCAACAAATCTGTCACTGAAGGGATCTCAGAATGGCAAATGAAGTTCACTTAAACGTAGGCACACAAATCTTCACATTACTTTCATTTATAATGACCAGACTGTACCTAAACCAAATATCTGATAAATGAAACAAAGCTTAGTAGCTACTTACAATGGACTATTACTCTGCAACTAAAACATTAAAAAAAAAATAGAACCTATTGGTACCTCCTGGCTGAATCTTGAAGTTAACATGCTGAGTTGAAAAAAGCCAAACTTAATTTAGACTGTGTGTGACCCACATAATATTTTAAAATAAAAGTTTTGTAGAGATGAATATGGGATAATTTCTCATTACATTTGGGAAATGTAGTGAATGTGAGTATAAAGGAGTATTTTAATATTTTTCTTCTATGTTTGATATGCAATTATGTGAATCAATGTTCATCACAGCTGTGTTAGAATTTTTCATTGTGTAAATTTTATTTTTGATACTTTTTACATATTTGATTAGGGTATGAAGGATCAAGGGCTAGAGGAAAGTGGGTGTGCCCATTATTTTGACATTCTTTTTTCCTTCCTATATCTGGGTGTAGGAGAGAGATAAAGGAAGAAACCACACCCAGCCTCCCAACCATCCAAGGGTTCCAAAAGTGGGAACTGGTCCGAGGGTCCACCTCAAGTGGTTTTGATTCTGTGTTGCTGCCAATCTTGCCACTCCAATCATGATGAAATCTCTCCAGAATCCACTGGTTGGCATAATCCACTTTATAGTCTCATTTGCCCAAGTATTCACTGCCAACTCTTGGCTGGGGTAGTTGAATGATTTGTTTTGTCCTCTGTCTTCTGTTATGGTACCAGGTGTCTTCTGCAGGCTCCAGCGTACTGCCAAATCCTCTACTTGCATCTGGATATGCTCTCCACTGCTCCATCTAAGTTACTGAGGAGGCCCAGCTCTGACATACACTCCAAGGTCAGACCATGGAATCCACAATTTCCTCTATGGTTGGAATTTTGAGTCCAGTGGTTCGGTTGGGGGCAGTTCCCAAAGAAAAATCATCTAAGGTGATTGATCCCAGACCTGATTCTTGTGTGTGCTTGCCAATACAGGGTCCAGCACAGTTCATCACCCAAATTGATCTACATGCACACTGTTAGTTGCAATTGTTGTGTCAGTTGTCTCCAGCCCCGTCTTCTACACAAACCAACAGGTGTTGCAGTCCAGCCTGATCTTGCTCTCTCAGCCTCCATGCAAACCGATGGGAATTGTAGCCTAGTCTGAGTGACCTATAATAACCCCTACCAGGCCAGCCTCCTGCCCTGTTTCCTCTGCTTGCCATTTTGTACAGCAGACTGGTCCTGTTTGTCCCATATCCCATTCAGTTCCCATATGTATCAATGAAGTATCTGTGAAGCCTAGTTCAACCCAACCAGCCCTACTAGCCATCCCACACGGCTGCATCCCATGTGTCATGATGTTTTTGATTTCACTTTCATTTCTTCCAAATACTTTCTTCTCTTTTGTCAAATTCATCACTGGCTCACGGATTGCACATTGGCATCATTTTACCCAAGAGATTTTTGTTTTCATTTTGTCACCCATGTGTTAGCTACTCAGTAGTGCATTATTTTTTGACTCCATGGTGCTATAATGTTGTTGTTTGAATTCATACCCATTGTTGATCTTACCTAATGGCTTCTCATTTATGGAAATGTATAGTGATGGAGTAGTGGAGACTATCATTTCCAGATGTGGGAATACAATGCAATATGCATCCTTGCTTCCAAGTCAAAGATGGACTCCCAATGAAACTGTTGGAAATGTGTAGACAATGAGATGCTGGATTGTCTGACATTGTCTGTTCCAGCAATGTTGGGGCACACTTAAATAACAGACTGATGAAATCATAACTCCTTATGAAGGACTATGCTATCATAACAGCATGGGGAAAATCAGTTGGGGGTGAGGCTTTAGGGGTGGTGGAAATCCCAGACTTCACAAAATTGTACCATAAAATTTAAAAATTCAAGACAAAAATTTTAAAAATTGAGGAAACTTGCATTACTTATGGGTGCTCCTGGAGAGATATGTTTGAGGTGCTGGGATATGTACAGAAGGATAAATGTACACTGAGCATAATGTGAAATGACTCCATTACCTCTCTCATTAGATCTTCAGAGGAGTATCTTTTACTGGTGAAAAATTTAGTGTGAGAGGAGTTTATGAGAGGGAGTAGAAAAGTGCACAGCTTGGAAAACAAAGAAAGTTGCTCATCAGATTTCAGCTGGAGCAAGAGGAGCCATTCAGATCTGCATGAATAAATATCAGGCAGAGCCAGTAATGTGGACAGGGAGAGGGTCTGGGGATGAAGTACTAACAGGAGACCAGTGATGGTAGAAGTCTGTGAAGTCTCACTTTATTGCTCCTTCACCTCTCCTTTTATACTCTTCCCCTCACTTCCTCATTTAGCAGGATATTGGATATATATGAGTCCAAATAGTCTAGGTGTTTTTAGCCACAAGCCCAGTTCCTGTTCCTGCCCAGGCCAACGAGCACTAATCAACTCCTTAGCCCACAACAAGGATGCCCTTTTTGTCTAATCCAGCACATTCAGATCAGGAATCCAGGTGACTCAGTGGGGAAGGAGGCCTTCAAGTGAGCAAAGGACTTGTTCCTCCTACAGTGTTACAGTAAGGCATTAAGCAATGAATGGTTCCTTATGAGATCTCCCATGTACATAAACTGATTGGTCAGAAAGGATATGAGAAGACACTCAACATCTCTGTGGTCCCCATTCATGGAGTTTTACAGTCATAATCTGAAGATGCTTTCAAAAGTTTGTGGAAAAGGGAATTCAAAGATAAGTTTTAGTTTGGTGAAGAAAAACTTGAAATTTATACATTTTTATAAAAACACATATTTTCATATCATAAAAATCCCAGAGCTTGCCGCTGGGTGGCCAGCAGGCAGATCCTGGCCCCATTTGGTGAAATAGCTGCTTAGGGACACCCATGAATAAGGCCAGCTTTAGTGTAGGTGATGCATGAATTCCTGGTAATTCCCAGGAACCAAAGTGGAATGATGTGGACACAAAATAAGAGTTAAAATACAAAAGAGGCTTTGAAATTAAGTTCTTGATAAAGTCTTACCTTTCCTTCATTCTTGGCAGAAGCCCAGAAGCTGATGTGGTCTAAGGGAAGAGCCTCTTGACAGAGTCACTCAAGGACATTTTTCTGCCCTGGAGAGCTAACTGAAGGTGCTGCAATGAAGTCTGGTGTCTGGGCCAGGCTTACCAAAATCTTGGATAAACCCTATGATTTCCTGTTCTAGGACTTGCCGGTAAGTGAGGATGTAAGGTCATTTGAATCATGTTTTTCATTAAACGTTTCTCAGCGTTTTGTTTAATCTCTTCTCTTTTTAACACAATTGGGCCCTATTTCCGGAGCACTACTGTTTTGGAGCTTCTTGATTCCATCTGAACAGTAATGCAAGCACTGTGAGTTCATGCTGGAAGACTGCTAAGTAAAAATGAAGCATATGTTTTTTTTACTTGTAATGTGGTTCTGTAGGGCTTGGTTCACCACCATTTTTCAAAGTGGCGATTCATGTCTGGTGGCATGTTTTTGTTCCAACTGATGTAAAAGTGGGTCAAATGAAAGGTAAAAGCCTGAATGCTCTTCAGCAGAAACAACTATTTATACCTGAGTGATACTTATGATTTGCTATATACTGAGGACTTTTGACATCAACAATGTGAGAGGAAGTGAGACAGTTCTTAACGGGGAGTTCTAAGAACAAATTCTGCTGAAGTGTTGTGTGTGCAAGGCAGTAGTTGGCTGAAGGACAGAACCCTCAGCTTTAGATGGTGTTCTGAGATGATGAGTTCAAGGAGCTTATGTACTCACAGAGGAATCTGTTCTCCCCATGGCACATGATACTCTCCTGGCAATCTCAAGAGCTGGTTAGCAGTGGGAATGGAAGTGTAACTTTTGGGGAAATGTCATTATTAGGGGATATTGCCATGTCCTTGGAGGAATTTGAAAGCCTAACATAATAAAAACTGCTGGGAAAAGCATGATAAAGTTGTTCCCCCCTTTGCAGAGAGGAAACCTCTGGTTTCCTGGGTTTAAAATCTTTATCACCTCTCTCTTTCTTCTACCTGTTTTTGTGTTGTCTCTCCCTTCACCCTGATTCATGAAGCACCAGCAATATGGAATCAACTGAATCATGCTCCTTACAGGTTGCATCTCCATGTTTAATTTAACTGCATTTTTTATTATCAAAGCCTGTTTTAAACATTTTTGTTAGTTATAGTTATAGTTATAGATTTAAGTGATTAACTTTTGTTTCTATGATTTAATTCCTTGGTAATAAAAATACTATCAATTTACTACCATACGAGATGAAAAGGATTTATCATAGAGAAGTAGACTTTTTCCCCAAGTAGACTTTTTCCCCAAGATTTATTTATTTTTATAGGAAAGTCGATTTACAGAGAGAAGGAAAGAGAGAGAAAGATCTTCTATTCACTGGTTCATTCTGCATGTGGCCACAACAGTCAGAGCTGAGCTGATCCAAAGCCAGGAGCCAGGAGCTTCTGGGTTTCCCATGTAGGTTCAGGGTCCCAAGGCTTTGGGCCATCCTCTGCTGCTTTTCCAGGCCACAAGCAGGGAGCTGGAAAGGAAGTTAAGCAGCCAGGATGCAAACCTGTACCCATATGGGATCCTGGCTCATTTAAGACAAAGATTTAGCCACTAGGCTATTGCGCTGGGCTCTAGAGCAGAAATGTACAAAAATAACTTTATTTAAAATGGAGAATTACAGAAAGAAGGAGAGACAAAGAGAAAGAGGTCTTCCATCTGCCACTTTACTTCCCAAATAGCCACAGTGGGTGATTTTATAATCATTCTTTTGTAATGAAGTAAAAATGAAACAATTGGATGTTGTGCAAAAGCTTGTGATGATTTGTGTATAAATAAAGAAGGCAACTTTTCTGAGTTGTCCATTATGAGCATCATGCTGTAGTGGTCCATGCCTCTTCTGTCTCTCCCTCATATCTTCCCTTTCTTATCGTTTCGCCGATCCATGCATCCTTTGCAAGCTCTCGAGTCAGTTGGAGCAGACCTCTGGCATGCAGTCATTATGGAAAGCACTATGGAAGATCCTGAGGAAATTGTAAACAGAATCATCATGTAAACAATTTCTTCTCTGGCTATGTATGCAAAAGAAATGAAATCACAAATCTCTCCACATATGCACTCCATGTAGATTAGAGCACTATTCACAACACCCAAGATAAAGACATAATGGGTGCACATCAATGGAAAAAATTGGATTAAAAAATGTGGTACACCTGTTCAGGAATTACTTAACAGGTAAAAGGAGAAGATGGTGCCATTTGCCATAACATAGATGAGTCTACAGGACATCATGCTAAGTGAATTAAGGCAGATATAGAAAGAAAAGTATTGTGTAATCTCATTTATACACAGAGTCTAAAAGAAAAAGTAGTCAAATACCTAGAGACTATAAAACGGAGGTTATAGGATAGGGGTAGGAAGTGGCAAAGGTAGGTAAAAAGGTACAAAGTAGCATATATATTGAATGAATAAGCCAAAGATTTATTATACAGCATGAACGGATTTTGGTTTATAGTGCTTCTACTCAGTTTTTATTAATTAAATGAGTAAATGCAGCTTCTTTTGTTATGGAAACAGAAATGACTGATCTAAGTGATATATTAATTTGTTCAATTATAATAATCCTTTTATTGTATCTATGTCTAGTAACATCATGTAAAGATGTTAAATTTATACAAAAAAAGTTTATTTCAGGAAATAAAGAAAAAAAATACCATTTCTACTTCTAGAGGTAGGAGAAGAGACTATAAGGGCTCAAAGGAACTCACAGATTGATTGAAATAAACCCATTTATAACCATGAGATCCAACATACATTTTGCATTCATTCACTCCCAGTTTATTCCTGTATTATATCAAAATACTACAATAGGTGCTCTCCAAGGGGCATGCGTTTTATTCTGGATTTGCAATAATGAACAACACATTAAAAATCATTTAGGCAAAGGTGTTTCTGAACATAAACCCAAACATTCCAGACTGCAGGATGAAACCTTCAGCAGTAAATGGAAATTATCAGACACATTCTTCAACTTACAAGAATCACACATTGATTGTGGGCATGCTGACTCTCCATTGACCTGGATGAATCGAGGGGAGGCATGGCAGTGCTATGGTTCCTGGGCTTCTGCATTGGCAGCAATGCCCTCTATGCCTCTGTCCTCAACCTGACGACGGGCAACTTCCTTCTCTTCCAAACAGTATTTATCTTATTGAAGCTTCCATTCCTATTTAAAGTGCTCATGGCATGTGTTTTAGTACTTGAATTGCATACTTTTTAATGTTACATGTTCTTTAAACATGTTAATATTAAATATTGCATATGGTGGTTATTTTAATTTTTATTGAAATATAATCAAAATGATATGTGCAGAAGTTCAGTATACAGTTCATGAATACAAAATGTATGTAGGATCTCATGGTTATAAATGAGTTCAATATCATTTGTTATATTTAGAAACCCCATTCAAAGCTGCCTCACTGTTCCCTGCCCTATCCTGTTATCTCAGGATATCAAAGGAAGAACAGGGATGGAATGGAGGAGAATCAGAGGTGCACAACTCACCTGAAGCACTTACACTTCTGCTTTCTCATGTAACAATCTGAGAATTTCTCTCTGTATCTCTTCTCTGTAATGCTTTCCTTCAAATAAAGGTAAACTAAATATTTAAAAATACTTATAAGCTCATCTTAAAAATAACTGAAAAATGTTAAAGAAAAAGAAAACCAAAACATGGGGGGAAAAAGGCATAGGAGAGAAACACATTCCCTGCAAAGAAGGAGGGTGAGGGATTGCCGCCAAATTCTCTACAGAATCTATCTAAAGCAAGACAGCATGGTGCTCGCTTGGGCAGCACATATACTAAAATTGGAACAATGCAGAGATTAGCATGGCCCCATGTGCAAAGATGACATGCAAATTGATGAAGCGTTCCATATTAAAAAAAAAAGACAGCATGGAATAAAAACAGTTACAGTGTTGGAAGAAATAACAACCAATCTTGAATTCTGTGCCTAGTTTAACCACTTTTCAGAGTTAAGATGGGGAACATATTGTCTTGAACATTGCAGAATTATTAGAGGGAAGATGATACATGCTAGAAACTCAGACCTACACACACACACACACACACACACACACACACATACACACACACACTCAGAGATGCACACACGAAAGAAGGAACAAATGAAGGTAAAATTTATTTTCTGCTTTGAACTTTTTTGCTGTTCTAATAAACATCATTTTGATAAAGATAATAATAACATCTACATTGGATAGTTATAGCTTACATGTGAGTCAAAGATGTATGACTTTAATAAATAAAGGATTAGAAGAAAAGCTTGTGAATACTCTGTTATACAGTGATTACATTGTCCACAAAGTATTACAGTGTATTGAAGTATTGAAGATGGACTGAGCTGGATTACAAATTTATGTTTCAAACACTAGCAAAATCATTAAAAAATATTTTGAACAAAGTGTCAGTGGTAAGTTAAAAGAGAGGAGAAATATGAGATGTAATTTGCTCAATCTAAACAAGAGAGGGCTGGAAGAGAGACAACTATAAAATATGAAGATTGGGGTCAGCATTGTGAAGTAATGAATAAAGCCACTGCATGTGATGCAGGCATTGTATATAGGCACCAGTTCATGTCTCATATGCTCTGCTTCCAATTCTGCCTCATGCAAATATTCTTTGGTCCCTGACACCAATGTGGGAGATGTGGAAAATCTCCTATCTTCTGAAAGTGTACTTTTAAATCAAGACGTGACTTGTGGACCCGGCATCAAAACTGGTGACTCAGTGAGGCTTATTAAGTTTCCAGGGAACTTCTTGATTTTATCTATAGAACTGAGAGCAAATCAGAGACCAGAGCCCTGATGTAGGCCAATGAAACACACTTCTTAGAATGGTTAAAATAAAAAAAAAATCTTAGTCTGAACTCTTGGTTGGTGCTCTGACCAGCAGGGCGAGTAACGTGGACAGGGAGAGGGTTTGGGGATGAAGCACCAACAAGAGACCAGTGATGGTGGAAGTCTCTGAGAAGTCTCACTTTATTGCTCCTTCACCTCTTCTTATATACTCTCCCCATCCCCAAGTCGTAATTTAGCCAGGAAATTGGATACAAATGAGTCCAAATAGTTTAGGTGTTTTTAGCCACAAGCCCAGTTCCTGTTCATGCCCACCTATGAGCACTAACCAACTTCTTCACCCACAATAGGTTGGGATTTGGAAAAACCGAATCTTTCTTGTATTGTTGGCTCTAAAACAAATAGCTGCAGCTACTCTGCAAATTCTTCTGCACTTTCTAGAAAAGTTCAACATATATTTAATCATATTACCCAAAAATTCACCCATGGCATTGATTAGAGGTAGTGGAAAGTCGTATTCATCTAAAACTCTGTACGCATGTTTTTATAATTGCTTTATTTATAATGGGCATACTGCAAGCCAACCAAGAATTCTTTGTTGTGTTCAGTGAAATCAAGCTTAGTACTTCCATACAATGGAATACTACTCTGCAATTAAAGCAGTCAACTGGAAATTGTTAATACATTTTTACACATGCTTGAATGGGTCTTGTGGGAAAGAAGCTAAGCAAAAAAAAGTTCTCACAAAGTGCAATTTCATTTACATAGCATTTTTTTCAACTGAATACTTGTAGAAATGGCTAACACAGGAGTAGTTTTCAAGAATTTGCAGAGTGTGATGAGATGAATATGGAGATTAAATATGTTCTTTTACAGAGAAGAGAATTTCATGCATTAATGCCTAATATGTGGTAATTATGTGCATCTATGCATGTGTTAAAATGTTGTAAAATTGTAACAAATATGTATCACATTATAAAAATGTTTGCAAGCATAAATTATGAAATCCGAATGAGAGCTATGGTGTAGAGAATCATGAGTACAAATATCAATTTCCTGGTTAGATAACATTGACTTTTAAATAATATAAGTTAAGTGCATGCTTGGTTGTGAGTACACAAGTCTGTACAAGTTTTTAACGTTTATTTTTATGAGTTTTGGAAAGCAGAGCAGCACATAAACGCAGCAAGAATGAGAATGAGAGTGAATGTGAAAGAGCAATAGTGCAAACAAGTGACAGACTTTTGCACTTATTTGTTTCTTTCTTCAGTGCTTTTAAGTCCTGATTGGGCAGGTTTATACACAGAACCAGGAATTCCATCCAGCAATCAGCATGAGTGGAAGTCACCCAACTGACTGAGACAATTTCCAGTGCCTCCAATTCTGTCTTCATTGAAATCTTGAATTTCACTGGACACTTCCAGAGTGACTGCCATATATAATTACTAGATGATACATTCAAAACAATGAGGAAAATAGCTATCCGACCTGGATATATTTCATAGTTGGATTTCATGGTGTGTGTGCTGCATGACTGCTATGAGGAACAGGGCTCTTACTCTGTAGTCTGCACCACTTCATCCAGCATTCACTAGAAAGAGCATATACCCCCCTTTCTTGTATTGTTTTCATATTTAAAACTATGAGGGAGGGCCCACCATCTGAATACCAAATGGCCACTACATCATAATACACTTATATACTATGAAGTTAAGCTTATACCTGAAATGAGTGGCCACACCATTGTAATAACTGGAGATGAATAATAAGAAGGAACTAAAGGGAGAGAGGAGGGAGAACGAGTAGGGGAAAGGATAATCCCCTATACTTAGAAATCTGTATTATGGAAAAATCTTTATTAAAAAAATGCATGCTAAAACTTATGACTAGCATATGAAACAATAAGAAAGATAGATTCTCCCTGGCACAAACATATACAATATGAAACATTAATGACTTTTTTCTTCTATTTCAGTTTTAATTTTATGATATAATTCAATAGAGTCTGGATTTTCCTTTACCCCCTCCCCAAATACTCTCCCCACCTGACTGATTTCCTCCATATTATTATAATAGTATGAAAACATGTAGGCCTTAGAACTAATATTGTTGGGATGGTGCAGCCTCAGCCTGAGGTGTTAGCATCCTCTATGAGTGCTGATTCAAGTCCCAGCTGCTCGATTTCTCTTCTAGCTCCTTCCTAATGTACTTGGAAGAACAGGAGATGATTGTCTAAATCCTTTGGTTCCTGCACCCATGTGGAGAGCCAGAAGAAGCTCCTGTCTTTTGGCTTTAGACTCGTTTTTCCCCATCCATTGTAGCCATTTAGGGAATGAATCAGGAGATAGAAGAACTCTGACTCTCCTGCTTTCTCTGTTGTAACACTGCCTTTCTAAGTAAGTAAGAAATTAAATAAATAAATAAACAACCCCCAATATAATAGTGTAGACCATGCAACCTAAAAATACTTTTAGTAATTCAATTAATATGTGCTGTGAAATTTGGAATACGAGATAAGTTTCACATAAGCCCTGCCCTCAGAAAAATATTAAAGTACTCAGACAATGCCTACCATGAAGGAAGGAAGAACCCCCAGTGAGGGATATAGGGCAATGGTATAGGGAAAGGTTGAGGAGGGACGCAGGTAGGTATTGACGAAAGGCAGGTGAGATGAAACCTCAAGGAGACAGACTACCTCCAGCCTTAACAATCGCTAATTTATGCAGTTGTGAAACTTTGTGCGAACCAAAGTTGAAAATTGTGAAAGCCATAAACTCAAAGATGAAAATCCATTACTGGTCAAAATACATTTCACACAGGCTTGACTTAAAATTTATCAATTTGTAGTCATCAGTCAAGTAATTGATTTAACAACTATTCATTAAACTAGATGGATATTCTAATTCCAGTTTTCTTCATGTGTCCTGGGGGAGAGACATTAGAATCCTTATCCCCAATGTTGTAGACACACACAAAATACAAGATTATTTGGGGGCCAGTGTGTTGGCTCAGCGGCTAATTTGGGTGCCAATTCATGTCCCAGCTACTCCACCAGCTGCTCCACTTCCCCTCCAGCTCCCTGCTTATGGCTTGGGAGTGGAGAATGTCCCAAAACCCTGGTACCCTGCACCTGTATGGGAGACCTGGGGGAAGACTCCTGGCTTCTGGCTCCAGATCAGCTCAGCTATAGCTGTTGTGGTCACTTGGGGAGTAAACCAGCAAACAAAAGATCTTTCTGTTTCTCCTCTCTCTGTAAATCTGCCTTTTCAATAAAAATAATTTTTTTTTAAAGAAAGAGGCAAGACTATCTGGACAAGACAATTTACTTGTACAGCAGGCTGTGTAGCTGCCTTTAAATCCAGATAGCAAACACAGGATGGAAGGTCTGCCCTGACTTTCACTCTTAATGCAAGAATCAGGGTTGGAGATGTGTGTTCTGGCCTCATTGGGTGAGGCTTGGGGTTACAATCAGTTTAGAGACTACACAGAAAGAGGAAGTGGCACGGAGCAGAAAGAGGAAGTGGCACTAAGTGCAAGAATTTCTTTCTTCCCCTCTCTTGGCTGCCAATGTGCAGCTGTAACAAAGCTTATGTATGAAACAGGATGCAAAAGATAGCTAATTTGCTGATACAGCAAAGCTCATTATGAAATGAGATGCAAACATGGGGCAACAATTGATGTGTGGTGTTAAGGAAGAGGTGCTAACTTACACAATTCTCAGAATCTCTAACTTACACCATTCTTAGAACACGGACTTTTTTGTACAAGATAAGATCAAAAGAGTCACAATCTAAAATAGAATCACTTGGGAAGAGGATAGTATGTATGGAACCACCGCACTGTTTTACAATTCTGTGAATCCCAATGTACTAATAAACATGTATGGAGAACTGAATAGAAAAACTGCCAAAATATTTGCAATATACATAACTATCAAAGGGCTTCTATTTTGGAATATATAAAAACTAATACAAGGTGAATCAACATTCAGCCTCACAGAGTGCCCACATCCCACAGCGAATGCAGAGGATCATTCCTGGCTTTGGCTTCTGATTCCCGTCTTCTGCAGTGCACACCCTGGGAGGCAGTGATAGACTCAGGCAGTGTGGTTTCTGCTGCTTATGTGACAGTTATAGACTGCATATCTGATAATGACTGCAACCTTGACATGTTCCCAGTTATTGCAGGCATTTTGGGAATGAGAAGTTCCCTCCTATTCAAAAAATAAACAAAAGTTTGAAAACATACACAGTTAAATGAAAAAAAAGTTAAAATTTAGGTAGACATTTTAGGAACACATGAATAGCTAATAAATACAAAAAGATACTCAAGTTCATGTCATTAGAAAATGCAATTAAAACACATTGTATAGCAACTCACACAGATAGAATGACTAATGTATAAAAATTGTTGGTAGAAATGTGAAACAATAAAACCCCAAAACTCTGGGAGAATTACTTAAAGAGTTAGTAGCATAGTTTTCTAAGTTCCTGCAATTTCATTCCAGGGTAACATCCAAGAGAATAAAATATACATGAATAAAACATATGAAAATGAATGTTTGCAGAAGTTTTATAAGCCCTAAATTAAAGAGAAAATGTATTTATCGATATGAATGTAATTACAGCATGCTACAATTATGTAATGAAATAATACTTGATTATCTCCAGAAATGATGCTATTTGGAAGAAGAGATGAAAAGGGCACATTATGTTTTTTAAAGATTTATTTTTTATTTGAAAGGCAGCATTACAAAGAAACGAGAGATGCAAAAACAGAGACAGCTTCCATCTGCTGGTTCACTTCCCAAACAGCCACATGATGAGAACTGGTCTGTCTGAAGCCAGGATCCAGAAATCTTCAACACAGAGTGTTGGGGACCAAACTCATAAACTGTACACTTGGAAAATCTTTAAGTCACTCGCTGTAGTAATACCCTAATTAAAACAATAAAAGGGTTAAAGAAGCAAGGTGTAAAATCAATATATTTGCATGCAATATGTAACTTCAAAATCTTCGTGATAGCTAAATTAATCTAGTAAATGCTGTGAATAATTTCGAATATAAGGTAAGTATAGCACAGGTCCTGTCTTCAAAGAACAGAAAGACTAAGGACATTGGAATCCTACATTGAGGGATGAAACAGCCCCTATTAAGGGAGAACCAGGTGAAATGGGTAGGGAAAGGATGGGGTTGGAAGCAATCTGATCCTGATTGGAGGGTGGGGGTAGGTTAAAAAAACCAAAAGCAGATAGGTTACTTCCAACTTTAAGTAGCAGATACAGATTTATGTGGTTAAAAAAACATCATTCTGTGAAAGCTTAAAATCGCTCAAATAATAAACTTTTGGAAATTTTATTAAGCTGAAGGGAACAATTTAATGTATTCCATAGATGCAATTCTTCAAAGATAATATTTTCTCCCATTTTTACTCCCTTCTTTAAGCCCCGTCTTTTTTCTTTAATTTTATAGCAATGTTTTCAACTTTATAGTCACTTGTATAATGCTCCACTAACCATCATACTCACTATGTAAAAAGTAGAATGACCACTGTACCACAGGGATATACACAAGGGCTATAAGCAATATTCCAATAATAAGATATCTTTTTTTTATTTTTTTAAAAAATGTTTTATTTATTTTCATTGAAAAAGGCAGATTTACAGAGAGAAGAGGAGACAAAGAGAAAGATCTTGCATCCACTGGTTCACTCTTCAGATGGCTGCAGTGGCCAGAGCTGAGTCTATTGATTCTGATGCCAGGAGCCAGGAGCTTCTACTTGACCTTCCATGTGGGTTCAGGTACCAAGGACCTAGGCAATACTGTGTTACTTTCCCTGGCCATGAACAGAAAGCTTGCTTGGAAGTAGACCAGTGCGTGATAGGATGCCAGTGTTTGCACATAGAGGATTAGCCTGTTGACCACCATGCCAGTCTCTAAGTTTCTTTCTTACACATTGAATGATGAAATACCACCAAGCCATAAAAAGGAATGAAATCCTGTGTATTGCACAAAAATTATGCAACTGAAGACTATTATATTTAGTGAAATGAGCCAGTCCACAAAATACAAATATTGTTTTCTTTTATGTATGTTAGGTAACATAGTATACAAAAAAGGAGAGGAAGTAAGAAACTTAGAAATGGCAATCTGTGTCTTGTCAATGAGGATCTTTGTCAGGTTTATATTAAAATTTATCAGTTGATATTTATTAGTGGAGTCATTTATTCCATAAACATTTATTAAAATAGGGAGATATCCTAAGAACTACCAAAATTAAGAAAGAGTTCTCTTTTGCAAATGGAGTGAATTGGCATCCTAGTAATTTAACTTTTAAGATTTATTTATTTGTATTAGAAAGGAAGATTTACGGGAAAAGGAGATATAGAAAGAAAGGTCTTCCATCCATTAGTTCATGTCTGAAGTAGATGCAGTAGCTATAGCTGAGCTGAAATGAAGCCAGGACTCAGGAGCCAGGAGCCAATAACCAGAAGCTTTTTTCAGGTTTTCCATGTGGATGCAGGGTCTCAGGCTGTGGGCCATCCTCTATTGTTTTTCTCAGGCCACAAGCAGGGAGCTGGTTTGGAAGTTGAGCAGCTGGGACATGAACCAGCACTCACATGGGATTCTGGCAAATACAAGGCAAAGATTTAGCTACTGAGCCATCAAGCAAGGCCCTGTTAGTTTTAAAGAAGCAGAAATTATGGGGCATACACAAAAGATATTTGTGAGTAATGGAGCACTTTTTTAGTTTCTGTCAGTCAAAGGAATTCAGGATTTTCCTGCACTGTTTCAAGCCTTCTGTGCAAGGTGGAAATTTACAAATTACAGTCCTTATTTCTGGTGTCCAAAATCTCCCATGATATAGGATGAAGCCTCTAAGGAGAGAGGGCTGAGAGACACTATATGTACATCTGGCCAATGTGTGTTGTCTACTTATTCACTTTTCTTCATGAGGAAGATAATTGTCTCAGCTGTTTGAAGATCAGGGTCTGAAGTTGACAGAGGTTAAAAGAATTTCTTGAACTGATGGGGACAAAGCTGGTTCTGAAAGCCATCCAGGTCACTCTATGCCTGGTTGATCACTGATATCTTCACGGTTCGCTGGGGCAGGCTGTGTCCACTGTCACCCACCTCAGGAGTATCTTGTAGGGCCCTCTGGAGAACCTCCTTGAGCGACTGTCCTCGCTGCTGCAGCCTATAGGAACCCACGAAGAAGTAAATGATGGGATTGGCACTGCTGTTAACACAGGACAGGAAAAACGTAACCACTTGGAAATGGAAACTATAATTGCTTGAAAAAATTTCATTCCCCATTAAGTAGATCCAAGTAATACCACAGGGCAGACCACAGAGCACGAAGACTAGCACTGTGAGGAGAATGGTTACATACAGCCGAGTCATGGGCAACCTCTGTGAGCTACGGACCCTGAGCAGCAGAGCCAGGCTGGATCCACAGAGAATCAAAAATAAAAGCAGCAGCCATGCTGCAGCAAAGGAGTTAAATATCTGACACCAAATATTTTCACTATAACTAACAGTGGAGAGACAACTGTTTACTTCCAGTATGCCCAGGGGCAGGGACAGGGCCCAGATGAGGGCACACATGATAGTTGACAGGCTTTTGTGTCTGTGGCAGCGGTACCAGATGGGCCAAAGGACAGATAGGCAGCGCTCAGCACTAATGGTGCTGAGGATGCCCAGGTCCACAAGGTAGAGAATGGCTTCCATAGTAATTAAGAATTTAGACTCAGGGGTGTTCATAGAGATAGCAGGGAAGGATCCAGTTAGAAACATCAGTGAATCCACAACTTGGCAGCAAAGGAAAAGGAAGTCGGCCACAGTCAGATGGAGGATGTAGGTGTAGAAAGTGTTTTTATGCATGTGGAAACCAAGGAACCAAAACACAGTCCCATTTCCCAGTATCCCAACCAGGGCAATGCCAAGTATCAGCCAGTACAGGATCCGGAACGCCTTGTCAGATGCCGCAGAAAGGGTTGTGATTTCGGTCAACTGGGCAGGGATGCTTGAATTCATGCTCAGAAACCCACCAGTGGTGTCCCTGGGAACACAAACAATAACTAGAGTCTGTTGCATGACTTTCATTTCCAATATCATCAGGAGATATGGAGATTACTCTTCCAGGACCAGGAGCAACAAGGACTTGGACAGGTATCCATATGGGATGCAAGTGTAACAAGAACTGACTTTACCAAATGCATGACAACATTGACCTCAGTAATCTTAATTCTTTACATCACACATATACTAGTGTTCTATACTGCACTGAAAATAATAAACTCAAAAATGTATTAATACTTTGGTACTTGCACTTTTTTTTTAATTCCTGAACTCTATTGCATTTCCAAACCTTTTGTGGTTATAGTGAGGCAATTTCCCCCCAAAGTGACACTAGATAGAGATGTACATACAAAACAGAAGAGAGTGAATGAGAAATTGACCCAATAATTTTTAGTTTCAGGTAATACGTACATGATGAGGCTATGGGAAAAGATAGGTTTTATCCCATGTCATCAGAACAGTTAGCTAGGTTTTTTTTTCTTATCTAACTTCTGGGCTCCTTTTGCTAAGGTGTAAACTCGCAGAAGAGTGTAAGTTTACTGAAGGTCACCATTCCTGTCCTGTAGCACATTCCTACGGCCACAACTACAGCAGAATTCTACACTCCTCTCTCACAGATTGTCCTTTCCATGTCCTTGTAGGAATGGTATTAGATTGTCACTATTTTTTTTATTTATTGGATATAATTCTACTTTGGTTTGTCTTATGTCTTCTCATGGCTTTGTAAGCTGTCTTTTTAAAAACTTCTCCCAAGATTCTCCAGAATCTGCCTTGAGGCTTTCACTGACATACTTATTATAAATATAAATATATATTACAAAAACATGGAATAGAAAAATTATGAAAGTTGAGGTTTTATTATTTAGCTTTGAAGAACTTTGCACACTAATTACATCAACACAGAAAAGAAAAAGTACTTCTCTCAACAGGTTAAGACTTGTATGGTTGAAAGGAAAGGGAGATAAAGGAGAGTGCATAGAACACAGTTGGCCCCATTCAGTCTCTACTGCAAGCCTGCAAAGATGATGAGTCTCACTAATGAGTGTATCTCAAGATGTTTCATGTTGATGTAGGATAAGAGGGAAAGTGCCAAATTGCCATCGAAACAAGATGATCCTGGGCAAACTCTTACCTTAGCACCATTCTTCCTGCTGCGGGTGAGGAGTTGGAAAGGAAGAACTATCCTGGGATGCCAAATAGTGAAGGATGCTTTTCCCCCCTCTGGACAGAAAGGTGCCTATGGGAGCTGTGGGGAACGTTGGTAACTGTGTGAGTCTTATCAAGATGTTGAACAACCCTGTGATTTCCTGTACAGGGGCCCTGGCAAATAAGAGTGAGAGACAAGAAACTCATGAGCTAATTCTTAGTGTTTCTCCTCACTCCAACCACTTATCAACCTCTGTGAATTCTATCATGTCTGACTGACCCTGTTTCCTCCTGTGAGGATCCTGTGTATTTCATTGCTCACTGTGAGTCCATGCACAAAGCATGAAAATTAAGTACGTTTAACAGCATACAAAATTCTGGTGTTACCTCTTTGACATCCAAGGCTCTCCATTGTATGGCTCACCTGATATTTCTAAATGAAACGCAGGAGTTATGGAGGAACATTGGTTTGTGTTCATTTAAAAATATTGCTGTGTATTTATAATGTGCCAGGCACTGTTGTAGGCACAGGAAACACCCCATAAAAACACACAAGATCTTGCCTCTTTACACTCAAGGAGGAACCCAGTGAGCTCGTGCAGGAAGTGTATGTTGGTGGAGGGGACTCTGTGACAGCCTTTCCTGGTGCGTTGGTATAATAGACAATCACACATATGTCTCCGGAATTCAGCCCTCCATGAGAATGATACATTGCCTTAAGATATTTTCATAATTCTATCCAAACAGGCTCTGTTTTGATTCTCTCCTTCCCCAAGAATTAAAAACAGCTTATTGTTTGAAATAGTGTTTGCTCAAATAGATATAAATGATCAATTTTGTTACTACTTATCTTCCCACTTTACATGTCACATTTTCCATTTCTCAAAGCATATTCGTGAGTTCGTTTTTGACACACTGTGTGGTATAATTGCTCATTTCTCCTAGTGCGTTGAAGGTCTTTCTCTCGAGTGCCAATGTCACAGTTGCTGCATAGGACCTCAGTCAAGTTCCCACTTGCTTAGTGATATGCTTATTTTCTTCATGAGATCTTACTTTTTTCTCCTCTCTTGTACATATTCCCTGACTGTGTCTAAAGTCTTTCATTTTCACAAGAGGCTTTGGACTTGTGTAGATAATGGGGATATCCAATGATTTGATTCTGCTGTTTTCTATTTTTACCATCTGAAGGAAGAAATAACATCATTAGGATTTTGTAGGATTGTTTCCATGATTTTTGAACTAATCTATTGATAGATGCTCTGGGAAGAAGCATATAGTATCTACTATATGTATGCTAGTGCTATCATTTATATTGTTTTCTGTTTAGAGGAATATATCTCAACATACGCTGAACATTCTTTTATGGTTATACACATCCTCAGGTTATATTTCTTATTTTAAATGTGTTTTGCAAGTTTTGTCAGTTTTCCAGTGTTTACAAAACATTAATTTGTGTAGCAGATCTTAAACTCAATTTTTAAATTCCTAATTTCTGTGTTTTATTTCCTTTTAAAAAATTTGTTTTAGGAGAGAATCAGGATGGTAGAATAGGGTAAGGAGACATTTAAACAGAGAAACATTAGCCAGTGTGAAGCAGAGAGAGTACATTCCATGAAACAGGAGAGGAAAGAATAACAGCAGAGAAGCACTTGGACTGAGACACAGGAAAGCAGTGGACACAATGGTGTGATGTTGCAGTGACTGATACCCCAACGGCATTCAGCGAACTGTAATATGAACTCCACCAGCATACAGAACTCCACCAGCAACAAGCTGGAATGGGACATTCACTAGGAGCTTTAAAGGTGTACCCAGACAAAGAACTGCCCATCCAGCTGGTGTGTTTGATTTGACCAGAAGCAGAGACAGAGCAGCAGATCCCAGACAGGCAGTGCAGGAACAGGGTGGATTTCACAACACAGTTCACTTCCTGTAGCCATGTCAGGCATCACTTTGTTCAAGGAAGGATGGACAATGGACAATACTGTGCATGCACTGAGCTGGTGAACTCATTTCTGGCTCAGTGAACTGCAACATCATGACCTCCTACAGATTGCACCCAACACAGGTCTGAGTAGCCCTCAGATCTGACAGCCAACAGATCAAGAACTCTAGTAGTGGCACATTAGGCTCCATTTTGTACAGTGTGGCAAAGGTTTTAAGAATGTAAGGACAACAGTGAACTGTGCATGAGCTGAGCTGGGAGCAAAGTCACTAAGCTCAGTGCATTGCACTAGTCACACACGGAAAATAATACTGACTTTGGCATCATATGGGTCAAAATAGGACTGTGTGCCAGGATAGATTGGGTTGTAACATCCAACCATAATAACTGGAATGGGTTGAAGACAAGTCAGGAAAGGCCATTGTTTTTGCTAGATCAGGAGGTGGACTGAATAGGGCTGACCCATGGACCCACCCATGTGCACAAGATCTGGCATTGGGAGAGGTTCAGATGGAGGAACCTGGGAAACTCCTCTGTCAGGCCACAGACCCTGCAGGTGAGCACAAGTACCAAAACAGGGAGCAGCCCAGATCAGACCAGGGATTGACACCCAGCAGCATAAATTTGGTGCAGGTCAGGGTCGAACCAGGCAGGACCAGCCCACATCACCTGCTGGCAAATCCGAGCACCAGAATGGAGTGTGGCTCAGGCTGGGTCCAGTTGCAGCACACACCAGGACACATTATGGCTCGGACTTGGTGCTGACTGGGCTGGGCTGGGCTTTAGCCCCCACCAACTTGAGCTGGAATTGGGGATGGGCAGAGTCTGGCTAGGTTACAGCACACATCGGCAAAAGCTGAGGTTGGCAGGCCATGCCAGACTGGGTTGTGGCACCTAACCAGCACACCCAAGACCTACGGGAGAGGGGCAAAGCTGGCAAGGGGATGTGGAGGCCTCCCCTGCTGGACCACCACTCCCACTGGAGAGAGTGAGTTGGGATGGGGCAGACCAGACCAGGCAGTGCTACAGTATCTGTGGTCCTCATGTGAACTAGATCAGGGAAAAGCCCGGCTGAGTTGACTGTTCCTACTGGTGCATGCACAAGCCAGAATGAGAGAGGGTTGGTTAGGCTTTGCTTCAGTATTAACTGACAGATGCTGGTACTGGGGACTAATTCTGTTAAACTGCAGATCCACCTGGAAAGTGCAGAATCCGAGAATGGGAGTGGACCCATTAGGGAAACAGTGGACACCTCCCTCTTGGGTTGCCACTTTAACTGGTGAGCATGAGAACCAGGACTGGGGCAGGCATAACTACAAAGAGAGTGGCACCTGCCAGGATGAGTGTGGGCTGGATAGTGGGGTTAGCTGGGTTGAACTAGGCTTCATTGCCCATTGACATATATGAGAGCTGAATGGGATATGAGATGGTTTGGACCAGTCTACTGTACACACTGCCTGGCATGGGAACCAGGGCAGGTGATGGGCCTGGTGTGGATTATTGCAGGTATCTCTGACTAGGCTGCAGCTCCCACTAGTTTGTGTGAGGGCCTAGTGTGTGGTTGGCATGATTGAGCTGGGCTATACCATCCATTGGTTTTGTGTAGAAGGCAGACCTGGAAACAGAACTGACCGAGCAATTGCTACTACCAGCATGTTTAAGTCGATGGGGTGACAGTCTGTGCCAGACCCTGTATTGGTAAAAACACATGAGAATCAGGTCTGTCCCAACTGAACTGAACTGCTGGACTCAGAAGCCTAACCATGGAAAGAATTGCAAGTTCCATGGTCTGACCATGGAGTGCATGAGTCAGAGCTGGGCCTCCTCAGAGGCTCAGATGGAGCAATGGACAGCATATACAGATGCACATGGATGACATGCAGTACATTGGAGCCTATGGAGAACACCTGGTACCATGACAGGGGACAGAACAAATTGATCAACTACCCAAGCCAAGTGTTGGCAGTGAATATCTGGGCAAACAGAGACTCTAGGGTGGACTATGTCAATCAGTGGATTCCGGAGCAATTTCATCGTTTTTGGAGTGGTGAGCTTGTCAGTAATTCAAAACTGTTGAACTATCAAAACCTCTTGAGCAGCACCATTAGGACATGCCCCATATCCAGGACCCAGGGTTAGTGTCAAGTGGCTGTCCTCCATTTCAGGGTTCAGAGGCATTTGGAAGACTGGGTGTGGCTTCTCTGCTTGTCTCCCCACCCATTGTCTTTCCGCAGATACAGGATAGAAAAAAAGAGAATGTAGAAACGGTGATTCTAACCCACCTTCCTATAGCCCTTGACTCTTATCACTCTAATAAACAATCAACAAAAATAAATATAATTAATTAAAAGATATACATAAGAAAAATATTAATTATTAATGAAACAATGCAATCCAAAAGAGAAATATAAAATATTTCCCCAATTTGTTCTAAATAATATATAGAGCACAAGGATGTATTTTTTTAAGATTTATTAATTTTTTAATTGCAAAGTTAATTAGGGAGAGGAGAAGAGACAGAGAGGAAGATCTTCCCTTTGATGATTCATTCCCCAAGTGACCACAACACCCAGAGCTGTGCCAATTTAAAGCCAGGAGCCAGGAGCTCTTCCAGGTCTCCCATGTGCTTGCAGGGTCCCAAGACATTGAGCCGCCCTCGACTGCTTTCCTGGGCCACAAGCAAGGAGTTGGATGGGAATTGGAGCTGCTGGAATTAGAACTGGCATCCGTATGGGATTCCAACATTTTCGAGGTGAGGACTTTAACTACTAGGCCACCATGCTGGGCCAGAAAAGGTACTCTATAACAGTGCAATGGAGATTTTAAGTTTTGATATTATTTACAGCTCTGTCATACTCTTGAAGAATAGTAATTTTTAAACTTGTTTTTGTTGCTATTTGTTGAATTTTTAAAATTGATTGCATTGTATTATGGGACACAGTTTTATAGGTACTGGGTTCCCCTAACCCTCCCCCCATGGTGGATTCCTCCCCCTTGTTGTGTGACCACAGTTCAAGTTCAGTTGAGATTCCTTCATTGCAAGCATATGCCAAGCATAGAGTCCAGCATCTTATTGTCCAGATAAGTTCAACAGCTTCTTGGGGAGACCTTCTCTGGTCTGAAGGTACAGCCAACAGAGTAAAATCCCGATCAATT